TTTGACTGTCTAGGTCTATATATAACCTTTTCTCCCCTCTCTACAAGAGTCCGTTATCGTGTCTAAGTGAAGGGTACTTGTGCTGTGGGGAGATTTATATATATGTCTGTCTGTCTGTCTATCTGTCCGTCTGTCTGTCTGTCTGTCTGTCTCTCTCTCTCTCTCTCTCCATCGCTCTCTCTCTCCATCGCTCTCCCTCTTCCTCTCCCTGTATCTCCCCCTCTTTCTTTCTCTTCCTGTCTCTCCCCCTCTCTCTCTGTCTATCTTTTTCTCTCTCCCTTTTCCCCCCTCTATCTCTCCCTCCCCCCTCTCTATCTCTCTCTCCCTCTTTCTCTCTCTCTCCTTCTCTCTTCGACCCTTCCTGACTTATTCTCAATACAACAATACCACAGTTTTAACATTTCTTTAAAAAATACAATGTGAATATCAGGACACGTTCATTCAGTTTTGTTCATATATTTATAAAGTACACTCTGTACTGTATACACTGCAAACAAGTTAGTTCGCTCGTATTCATGCAAAACCCATAATACACACAGCAAAATTCAAACCAGTCACATTTCTTCGAACGTAATCAATGTTTCCGAAAGTGAGAATCATTCCACGTATGCACATATCCGGTACATGTATACCATCTTTAAAAAAACAAAAACAAAAACCAAACAAAAATAAAGAGCTCTAAGACATTCGTTCACATTCATATTTAGTACTTGTACTTCTAAACAAATATTACACGTAATTTATTCATTTTTTCGACTTTTTTCAATACAAAATACAAGTACAAAGCAATCACATGTATCTCTCATGTGTCAAAACAGTGTGGGCTATCACATTTGATAGATATTTCTCGAAAGTTGTTTGAGCAACAGGAACGTATTCTCTTCTTTCATTTCATTTAGTGGCATGTCCTGTTAACAAAATTAATACTTGTCAAATAGTTTACATTCTTGCGGGGTAAGGGATGCCCCCATGTTCGTTGTTGTTAATGTTTGTTTGTTGTTTTGTTTTTGTGGTTGTTGCTGTTTTGTTGCTGTTGTTGTTGTTTGTTTGGGTTTGTTTTTTTGTCGTATTTTTTCTTGTACTTTTTGTGGTTTCAGAATAGTCAAATAAATAAAACCTTCTTGGTTATGAACTTTCTCACGTGGTCAGGACACAATATAGGAGGATTATGAATATGGCTTCAAGAGTTTTCCACTCTGAATTGTTTCCTTCCTGTTATGTAGTTGGATGGTTCCATACACAATTCTGAGTATCTCTAAAGCCGTGAATGTTTTAAACCCATATCAACGCACTTTGGTCTCACTTAGAAGTCCACTTGTTTCAATTTGCCCGGTAAGACCCACCAAAACTGTGTGGGATGTACCCCCAGAAGAAAGGCAGAGATTCTCGATGATTTAGTATTCTCCATAAACCCTCTTGCCCATTTAGCTATTGAATTCACACCTACTTTAAGCAGGCAAGGCGAAAGACATCAGTTCTGCTACTTTTGGTCCTGACAGGTGTATGGCAGACAAGAACATAGCAATTCACATGATTCAGCTTTTAATTTAGCAAGACCTGCGATTTACCATCCTTTACGAACCTTTAGAGACTCAAACCTTGTGTCCCTCGTGTCGCAAGTCAGCATCATAGTAGTAGCGCTGACCACACACAGTCCCCGTAAATATAGAGTACGATACTCAGAATTGTGTATGGTATTGTCAATTATCAATTTTATCTGTGATGAACAGAAAGGCCCCCGCAGAGATCCGAGGCCGTACTAGTTCGTTCTGCTGCCAGTCTTTGTCCACTCGAGCTTGCAACAATACATATTTGGGACATTTTGTTTATTGTAAAATGATAGACTTCCCGTCTCCGTATTACTTGAATTCAGTCTTGAGCTTGCAAAACAAGTTTCACGTCTATGCAATATAACTAGAGGCTATGTTTTGAACGGCACGAGGTAGACACAGAGACTCTCCCAAAAACGTTGTTCAGGAGTACCTAAACAGGTATCCGAACATGACTGTGTACTCCATCGATATGTCATTTGTCCTTTACCACTTGAGCCTTTATAACAGCGCACTGTTGCTTTAGATTATAATCGCACGGTATGACTGGCTGAAAAAGGGTGTTAAAACAATACCGTACCATATAATGCCTGATAGAGATTGATGCCCTATGAGTCGGCAGCATTACTGCACATGACGTGGCTCCGCAACCCTTCAGAAATTCTTTACTTTAGAATTCGAGCCGTACAGTAAACGTCCGCGATAGAGGGAACCTTATTTTAAAGTTCTCTTGCGGGCTTGTTGCAGTATCTCACAGTGAACACAGTCTTTCCCGCATGCTCTTTTTCCTTTGGAGACAAAACGTTTAACCTGTACGTAACAATGTTTTTAAGAACGTACGTCTCCCAAGAGGCTGCTGTGATGTCTTGGAATAAACTGTGCGGCTTCTTCTTCGATGCTGCGACAAAGCTGTTAACATTTCAGCAACCATAATAATATCAAGAAACTTCATTCTGGTGTAAAAGCTTCTCTAAAGCCGTGAATGTTTTGAGTCCGTATCGACGCACTTTGGTCTCACTTGGGAGTCCACACAGCGTTGATGCACATCTCAAAACGAAATGGGTTGTTTTAGGACACCAGACTGTTCACCAGTAAACTACCCTGATTTTCAGAAGAAATAACGTTGCTTTCCCACAGATTAACTGTATATTATTGTCTTGAGACCTGAGTCATTTTCATTCTCTGGGATGAGCTGAAGGAAACGTCAGCACATATCCATTGCCCGAGACAGCGGATTCATGTGTTCGTGACGTTTGAGATCGGGACTATTTCCTTTATCGCCGTATTTCCCTTCGCCGTCAACGTTCAGCGCCTGAAGTACCTTGGCACTGTGTTCCTGCGCCTTAGCCCTCAGCGTGGCGATGCTCTCTGTTTTTCTCTCCTCTTTGACCCGACCTTTGCCCTCTGGGGCCGCCTCGCTGCCCGAAAGGTCATCATCCTCCTCGCTCATTTTTTTAGATGCTTCCAGAGATTTCTTGTGCATGCCTGGGAACGTAAAAAAACAAAACAAGAAAAGCTGATGAGTGGAAAGTTCTTGTTTGGGTGAACAGGAATTGGTAAAAGAATTGTGAGGACTTCTAACAAGGGCACTATTAATTGTGGAAGTGGTACTAGAGAGGATATTGTGAGGTGATGAGGGTGTGTGTGTGTGTGCGTGTGTGTGTGGGTCTGTCTGTGTATGTTTGTGTTAGTGCCTGTGTGTATTTCCATTAGATGTATGCTTATGTATGCGTATGTAAACATTCATGAACATGTTCGGGGGAAGCTTGTGATAATAACAATAGAAACAATTCAGCGATAACAATATCAATTTAAAAAAATAAGAAGGCGAACAATACTGCTACAGCAACAACAATAACAACTACAATAACAACACAGACAACAATAACAACAACAACAACAGATTCTACTACTACTACTACTACTACTACTACTACTACTACTACTACTACTACTACTACCACCAATGCTGTTTCTACTGCTATTGCTTCTTTCAATACTTACAATAATGCAACAATAACAATGATTAATAAAATAACAATGATGATGATGATGATGATAATGATGATGATGATGATGATGATGATGATGATGATGATGATGATGATGATATTAATATCATATAAGAGTCGTCATCATCATCGTCATCATTTTCATCAAAATATCAATAAAGCCTCCATTCCACCTGATCGCAATAAATCTTTACCTAGCAGCCACGGCGCGGCCGAGTTCTCAATACCCTGATCTGCACTCTTCACAATGGCGTCTGGTAGCGGGAGTGCATGTCTGACCATGGCACCGTACAGGCCGTACTCCGCCATGATGGAACTCTTCCCCCAAGTCTTCTCCGTCTTACGCCACTTGGCTCGCCGATTCTGGAACCACACCTGCAACAACAAGAAAAAGTGTAACATATCGTTATTTTGATGTTATGGAAATTTTCATTTTCTATATTGAGGTTTTTGCCACGAATTTTCTACATTTTCATCTGGTCATTGACCAAAATGAAGCCGTGCTAAGAACTGTCGTGAATGCAACCAACTTGTGCTTCGCGCGCTCATAAAACTTATGCAGTTACGAGCCCCGTAAAAATCTTACTAAACAAGATTTTAGGGTTTTTTAAAAAGATTAGCTTTAAGATGTTACTGTACGAAAGCATTAAAATTTATTCATCGAGGACGCTCATTCTGGAGCGGCATCTGTGGCGTAGCAGTTAGACGCTTCCCGGTAGGAGGCAGGACACCCGAGTTCGATTCCTGAGTTGGAAAAAAATTGCATTTTTTATCGAGAATCTCGCTTTTTACTTTTCGGATATTGTATTCCTCTCAAGTAAAGTATTCCTTCATGATCTAAATTGTGTCGATGGGGACGTAAAAATGCTTATTTTTCTAAAGAATGTTGGTCCTTCAACAACGTTTGAAGATGCCCTACATTTTTAGGCACTTTCAAAAAGGAGAATAGCTTCGTAATTCATACAGCCTTTCAATTCTCTTCACTTGACCTGAAATTTCAAAAAAATAAATGCAAGCAAACTATAGGACATGTAAATTTGTGTTTCTGATTTGTTTGCGGTGGTCGAAATGAACAGCAACATTGTCTTTTGGCTGTTGATGATCGGTCATGTGTCTGCTATTTCTTGAAAGATTTTACATTCATAGCAAATAATACTCGGTTCGTTGTGTCTGCTCCTCATTATTTTACCGTGGAAATCAAATGTTTCGTCAAAATCAGAGACTTTTAAAATCCACAATTTATATCACTTTTCGGCTATATTATTATGGCATGAATGTAACAAGAACAACGGAAGACAAATATTGAATTTTAGTTTGTCAAGTGTTCTTTCTGTCCAAAAGCAAAGTCCTAATTTATAACAGGTGTACGAAAGAAAGATCTTACGTAAAACTGTATTCTTTTTGAAAATTGTTTTCCCCCCATTTTACTAAGCACAGCCTCTGGAAAACTTATGAATACATGCAATCTCAGTAAAATATAGCAAAGACACACACACACACACACACACACACACACACACACACACACACACACAT